GAAATCCAAGGTGAAATTTTTTTCTGTGAGATACTTTCATTTAGAGAAGACAATGTTTGTCACAACAAGGAAAATGGAATATGAAGTATGGTTTTTAAGCATTATTTTTGCATTTGGACAAAAATCAAGCATGATGTCAGAAACTCATTGTGAAGATTAGTCAAAATGTAATACCTGTTTTTTTTTGTTTTTTTTTTAATTATGACAGAAACAGAAAAAAAAACCTGTCAATAAAAATATGACACTCTTTAAAATTAAAGTTGTTTTGCAGTTGGTATTAATAATGTAACCATAAACATATTTGTAGCAAAGAGAGCATAGTAATAGTAGTAGTATCAGTAGCAACAAACTGTATTGATGAGTCTCCACAGCTTTCTCTGTTTTTCTATATACATATATCTATGTACCTGTGAGTGACACTGGGTTATATGCTGCCAGGTTTTAATGTACAATCTTTTCTTTTTTGACTTTCATCATCTGGAATCCTTATATACCCAGGATGATTCCTCCCTAACATAATTGTGTTATCCTAATTGCAAAGTTAATTATCTTTCCATTTTAAAATCAGGAAATTTTGTCCAAAACTTCACAACATAGTGACCATTTTGAAGTTGGATATTTTAAAACATATACAAATGAATTTAATAAATAGTACTGGTACTATTTAAAATCTTTTAAAATAAACTTACTTTGCAAGATATAGCATTACAAAAAAAAAAGAAACAAAAAAGAGATCTTAGTAATTGGTTCTTCATTTTTTGTTTTAAATAAATATTTTATACTCTGTTTAGTTATATTAAAAATTAAAATTTTGGAAAAAATTATCTATCATATCTTAGAAAGAAATAGGGCAAAATTATTCTCAAAACTCCTCATTTGATAGTAATCAGTACAACTTGAAATCTTCACATTTATTCATTAGTTATTTATTTTACCACTTTCACTTGACAACACAAAATAGATTCAATTTTAATGATTTTTTCCAAAGTATTTTTTTTTACTTTTTGCCAGTTTCTCTCCCTATTCCCATCCTAGTAGTATTGAATGTCTTCTAAATTAGAAAATAATTTTTCCTTTAAAATACTTTTGCCTATGAAAATAAAGCAAAATAAAATTAAAATAGAAAAAAATTTTTAGAATTTTCTTAGAGAATTTTTTTTATATTTCTGGCTTTACAAATTTAGATAAAGTATATTCAAAGTGATGAAGGTCACAATGATTTACTCTCCTATCTGATATTCAGTTAGTGAAAAGACAATTCATTAAAATTTTTCTTTACATAGTGTAAACACTTTTTACCGAAAAAAAAAAAAAAAAAATCAAGAATTAACAGTCAAAATATGAACCTTTCATTACAATTTTTGAAATGTTCTCGAAATTTTGTTGAAATCTATATTCACTAACTACAAAGCAATTTTGTATAAAATGTCTGTGTATGTGGATATATAATTGTACAGGGTGTCCAAAAATATATCCACAGTCAATGGACATCATTTAGCATTAAAGTATTACTACTTTAATATGTGAATGGCCAAGTATTCAGAACATTAGCAATGTGACCATGAGATATGGGTTCAAATCTCACTATGGCTAGTTTATCTTGCTAATATTGCACTAGAGAGACAATTTCAATATTTAGTAGTGTTAGAAAGTATTTGAAAACTATACCACAAGTTGATCCAAGGCTTATGAATTAAATTAGGTAGATAGAAACCATTGATTGTTGTGTTAACAGGAAGTCACAAATCCTTGAGACTAAGGGTTTCAGCATGCTGGCCTTGTTCAAATTGCTGATCATACCTGATTATGCACTTTCTACTAGAAACTGTAACTAAGGTCTGCTCAGCCTAATTGCAATATAATACACAGGTAGGCTATATGGGTGCTGAACAAACACAAATGTGCCTGAGCAGATGTCTGCAACAGATACAAGTTGTCAACTATGCTGTTAAAAAGGAAATCAGTCAGATTTCTAAGTCCAGTTTTTACCTGACAAAGACATCACTAAGTTATAAACTGATAAAGAGGAAGGAATTTGAAGGACATCCAATATATATTTCGTTTTTAAGTCAACTTAAAGCTCAGCTTTATCTTGTACATCTAATCAGTCATTTATAAATGAATTTGTCACACCTTCAACACAAAGTTATGAACTATGAGAGTTTTATTGCCATCTATTTATGTTCATCAGTAAAAATTAACTAATTTATTTCCTTATTTGGTAAACATTTTTATCCATAAGGTCTTAATTCTTTTATAAAATATATATAAAAGCAAGAAATACTGTAAAATTTCTCTGAAAAATTTACAAAGTTTTTTCTCATATTTATAGTTTTTCACCATACTTAGCACCAAGTTTCTTCACTGTTTTATAATATAGGACTTTTTGCATTTTTCATACACATTAAAATCAGTTCTTTGTGCCTTGTTTAGATTATTAATTCAGTCAATATTTTAAATGAAGTATTTTCACAATATGAGGCATGGTAAGCAGATATAGATTAGATCATCTCAAGTAGTACATTCATGACTGACTGACAAACTTTTTCTTTTATTTGTGGTTGAATTACAGAGTGTACTTATTTCAGGTGATCTTATTTACAACTATTATTAACCAATACCTGTGCATCTTTTTTCAGCCAATCAGAATTCCTGAAATTTGTTTTCCTTTGAACTACTTCTGAGAAAAAAAAAAATGAAATTTTTTTCCTGTAAAACTTTTCTGCTACTATTTTAAGTAAACTCATCAATACCTATCTTTTTAGATTTACTGTAAACTTTATACAAAAAAACAATTAACTAACCTGTTACAGAAAAGTTTGTTTTTTTTTTAATTAAGGTTTGTTCCAATCAATAAATGAAAAATCAGTTTTAATTGAAAAAACTACAGAACATTTTAAATCATACAACACAAATTTATGAGGTACAATTTAATAGCAATCAACAAAATAGTCTCTACACACCTTCAAAATGCATTCCCATTCCCACCTTTAAAATTCAGGTGAATACTACTTAAGCACATATATGCACATATGTTAATGTAATGTGTAAGTTATAATGTGTGAAACTCTCTTGGTTTAAATTCCCACATTTAACCTAAACTATCTGTTACATAATTTTTTAAATTGCTGTCCACTCTGTACAAGCCCCAAAAGCCACTTGACGTAGAGGATTACAGAGTAAGGGGCACAATTTATGAGGAAATGTGGGGAAGATAGTGGTTGACTCTAGACTTGAACAAATTAAGATTTTAGTGATAGGGGAAGCTTCTTCTTAGGAGTTGGTTACACAGTTTGTGGGTAGAATCTGCTTGAATGGAACTTAAATCTCATCAATGGAATACAAATAAAATGAGGATGGTTTCACTACAATTTGCTTGACATAATGGGTTTTAGCTTGGAGGGTTAGAACTGGTGGAGCTAAGGAATAGTGTTCGTCTGAATACTTTCCATGGAAATATAGTGGCAAGAGTCTTGTGATGTTTCATCTGTAGGAAAAGTTTCATAGGATGGAAAATAATTTGTCACCCATAAGACTGTAGAGATGCTTTTGGACTATTGAATGCGGAAAGTAAAGACTGGGCAGCTCCTGTCCATATATGGCAATACTATTCCATTTTTTTAACCTGATCGTGTAAAGGTGGCGAGTAGCAAGAGGAGTCAGATACTTACTGATGTGGTACAGGGAATCAACCAGGTTTTCAACATTGTTAGCAATGAAGCATATTTATGAGTTCCAGGTCTGAGTTGAGTTTTGATCTGTTCATCATGATAGGTGAAAATACAGGGTTCACTCAATAATGATGGAATGTCAATGCTTGTTAAAAGAATTTGATACACAAAGAATGTTGATATCTGTCTATCAAATTGGTTAAATGAAAAAGGATATTTTATAACAATCCTCTTTCATGAATAACAAGGGATATAGCAGCTAATACTGCTGCAATTAGCCAGGCTGGTAAAATGAAAAGAATGGTTGCCTATGTAATCATTATTCATTGTTTTATCTGTAATAAGAACATTGCTTCCTAATTTTCAGAGATGAAGTATGTGTGTGCATATAAAAAAAAAATCATGTAATTTAGTGTTTGTTTATCTACATTCCTTGAAGTGCTAGAAAAGCTAGATTTATTTAAGGAATATATTAGAATAATCCAGAATACTGGGAGCAAACTAATGATATACAAAAAGAAAATGAATTTAATAAGAAAAGGATTATTTTCTCACTGGATTTTTACAATGAGGAAAAAGCCTAAGAGAACTAGAAGTCCTACCAGGATTTACTACCAGTGGGCACAATCTCAGCAACATAAGATATGCAAATGAAAATGCATTAATAGCAGATGCAATGAAAAAACTGCAGGAATTTTTAGAGAAGGTATTAAAGGAAATCAATAAAAAAAAAAGAGACAAATCATCAATTGTAAGAATATATATATTGTATGGCTGTCAAAAAGATAAAATGTCCAAGATGTGCAAGCTACAAAATGCAGATGTCAAAATCAAACAAATACAAAGATTAAAATATCTTAGAAGTGTCTTAACAGTAGGTGGAAAATTTGACACTAAAAGCCTTTCTGAAAGCTAAAAAATATTGTGAAACAGGAAAGAGTAAAATTCTGCTAGAAATAAGAATATGTAATATTAAACCTCTTATATTGCAGTGAATGCTGAACAAATTCCTCACAGATAAAGAGAAGATTTAAGGTAACAGAGATGTTGTTCTACAGAAGGATACTGAGAATACCATGAGACAGAGGGAAAAACATGAGTAACTTACCAAGGGACTGTGAGAGATAATAAAAAGGCAAATAATGCTAAGTGCTAGAAAGGATAGGAAATTGTGGAGAGCCATGATCACCCATATCCTGAAAGGACATGGCACATAGAAAAAGAATAATAACCCATGACTAAAAAAACATTTATTTTATGTGTTATGTAAAATGCCCTTTTGAAAGTTATTTTTACTTTCGTAAGTCTATTGTTAAAGTTAATACAGCTTACAGCCACATCATGGTGAAACACTGGCTCCTGTATGATCACCAAAGTTAAGCAATGTCAAGCTTGGTCAGTACCTAGATGGGTGACTGCTTGGGAATACCAGCTGCTTTAAGCTTGGTTGTGCAGTTGGTGTAATGGATAATGACTTGGAATTCTTAATCAGAGAGCTTACTTACACACAAATACCCTTGGGAGAGGTATGAATCCATCTTGTCTCCCCCCAGCTATGGGTTAATTAGAATTATTAATATCACTAAACCATTAAAAAAGGAAAATTCTTACAAGGTAAAAGCATTGTCTGACTTTTAATAACATGCAAAGGGTTGAAAAGCCATAGAAAACAAATCAATCAATACTTTTGAAAATCACTTGTATATCTTAGCCTATTTTCACACTTTTTTTTAAAATTTAAATTGCTTAAAGGATTTGAAATAAAATTTTTTTTTTTTTGTGGGGTGGGTGACAAAACTAAATTGCATCTCAGGTGATATTCACAAAATCTGATGTAATCAATGATAGATGTACAGAACTTTGTTGGCAGAACCATGAAAGCTTATCCAAGTGTAACGGGTGACATACAGGAACGAAAGCAAAAACAAAACTAAATATGCTAAATGAATAAATCAGGAATTGAATTACTTATCTACTGGAACCATTTTGTTAATTTAGCTTTGTTCTTTATGACAACCATTACTAATATTTGCAACTTCTTTCTCATGAGAGACAGCTACTTACATATGTATCTATAAAATTAGTTAGCATTACAAATATCTAGATAGATTGGCTATTTTCCATAATACTGAGAGATTATAACCTCTAACCGAGCACCAAAACCAACTTCTCTCTTTTTATATATATATATATATATATATATATATAAAGTTGTATTAAGAGAATCAAAGAAATACTCTTGTAGCTTCCTGAAATGGCCTCCACAAACCCTTGCAATATTTTAAACAGAATCAATCAAAAGTCAGCAATTCTTAAAAATATACAGTTCATCCTTTTTCCTTTCTCTTTTGCTTTGGTATGTCTCGTATTTCTCTCTCTCTCTCACCTGAAATGATGTTCTGTAAGTTACTTTCCTGTACACTTTATCTGTTTACTCCGTATATGACTAAATGCTAGTAGAAATGTGTTTGATAAACATCTTTCAAATGTCTCTTCCCTGGGAAAAAAAAAAAAAATTAGTGTTGAAAAACTTTTGCTATTTACACTCCCTATATATACTTATTTTATCTTCATCTTTTTTTCTTCTTCTCATTCTTCTTCTATATTTTTCTTCTTTACCTGAACTTCTTTGCCTCTTTTTTTTTTCTTGTCTTTCATTCTATCACCCGTTTCCATCTCTAACTCTTCTTATCCCTTTCTTTATTCCCTCTTTTCATTCTCTCCTAACCCTTTCTGTTGTATTATTCAAATTTTCCCCCCTCACTTTCCTTAGACTTACCTGCTGCTCTGTTTTCTTCTCTCGTTATTTTCTTACTCCTCCCCCCTGCTTTTAATTTCTCCCATCTTCAAACTCTTTCTCACATTAAAAATCCTCTTATATCTTTTCCTTTACTCTTCTATTCTTACCTTCTTTCTTTTTCTCCTTCAACCAATCAATTTGCTTCTAGTTTATTTGATATTCCAACTCTTTTGCAGTGTTCTTCATTCTGTATTGTTATTGTGATGGTCGACTTAATATTTTTTTATTACTTTCTCTTAGATGTACTCTTCTGTATTTGTGAACAAATTTAGTCCAGTCAATTTATTTTTCTGTTTTCCCTCTCTTCAAATATGAACAGAACAAAATAAATATTTATTAAACTAAGAGAACCAAAGTGACAATGCATAAGACAGGGAACTGAAATAGTCAATAATTAAACATGATATGCAAGACAATACCTTAAATGACACCATAAGAGCAAAGAATCAGGTAAAGAACCATCTCAAGTTAGAAGACCATAAAGGTAACAAAAACATAATTTATAAACACAAAAGCATTTTGTCTAATTAGTACAATTGTTAGAAATTTTGTCTAAGATTTTGATGGAGTTTATGGTGTGGTTCTCTTAATTGCAGCTATTCAATATCATTACAAGCAGTTATTTCTTATCGAATGAGTGTTTATAAAATGTTCTTCCTGTTATTTGGCTGTCAAGGACTTTATGTTGTGTCTTGAGGAATCAAAGAGGAGTCCTCTTTTTTTCAATTGTTCAGTAACTAAGGATCTAATGTTAAAAGTTTAAACATTTTTAAAAATAATATTTTTTTAAAATGAGCCTCTTCCCTCCAACAAAGCTGTTGGGAGTTCAGGGATCAAAAGATTGTTTATATATCATAAAAATATAAAAGTCAGGTATTCAAACTATAAAATAGCTTAAAACATGATATTCAGTGTCATATATACATACATACATAGCCATGTTTTTTTTTATTATTGAAGAACTGGGAATAATCTTGTACAAATAAGGTGGGTCTTGCCTGACAAAGAATTTGTCACAATGATTTGAGACAAGGTTTTACAAGGTCAGAGTTCTTCCTGATGTACAACTTAGACACTCACAGTGGTCCAAGTGCAATTGTTTTTATGGAGAAATCACAGTCTCAGTTGTGGTGGACTCGTCATGTCTTGAGAATGTCTGATCCAGGATACCCAGGGCTACAGGAATGTAGGACGCCCATGGCTTATATACAAAAGATAAGCTGAAGAGCAACTTGTCAGTTGTCAATATACCTTATAACATCCTTGAGTACTTAGCACTGGAGTAGATATCAATGTGTTTTAGTGGTCTTGGCAATTTTCAATCTGATAGTCTGAATAATCTTCAAGAAGGTCTAAAAGGTCAGCCAATCTAACAGTGACCTCATCCTAAAATCCTCACTCTTACTCCATGCAGCCTCCTTTGCAAATCACTTGCAGGTCTTAAGTGCCACTTAAGATTATTGCACAAAACTCAGTCAACTGGTTTAAGTCATCAGATCCTTATATTCAAAACCGACGGGCAAGTCCATTATATATATATATATATATATATATATGTGTGTGTGTGTGTGTGTATGTGTTAGCCTTTGGCTCCTATAAGAAACTTATCCACTCTTTGACAAGTCTCATTTTTTGTCCTGTAACCCTCCACACTAGCAAAATAGCTATGGGGAGCTGGTTTAGATGACAACCACCTGTCCATGTGTCAGGTTGTACTAGGTTACATGTTACTAGTAGCAGGTCTAAGCCTGACCTGATTATAAATCATAGGCAAAAAAAACAAAAACAAACCTAACATAGCAAAATATTAATTTATAATTATTCCAATTGAAAAAATCTACAAATTCCTTACCAACTCATCAATTGAGTCAATGATGCTTTAATGTATATTATGGTGTCAATCCATAGATTGACAAGATTTTGTTTTCCACAAGACATAATTAGTTGTTATTGGTAAAATTTCTTTAAAGTGAATTACAGGTTTTGAATATAAAGTGGTATTGCTAATTTAAATAGCTTATCAACTTATTCTGTTTGAAACTAATATATGTTATAATAATATATTAACACATTTTTCTTTGAAGCAAAGTTTATCAGTCCTGGCCAAAAATTTGTCAGGTTGCGTAATTAAAATGAGGCAACAATTATTAGTGCAGAAAAAAAAGGTTTAAAATTAAAGTCTAATCAATATCATTTATCTGAAATACAGTTTGGTATCAAAATCTGGAATTGAAAAAGCAGCCTCTAAATTCTCAGATTTTTGTTATGATTAACCATTTATATATTATTCTGACCTTTTAATTGTCCAATTAGTCTAAAGAGGTGATTTTTTATGGTGCTGGTATGAGGATATCTTTTATCATCAATTAAGAAGATGGCCCAAAAGACTTACACAATTTACATTTTTTTTATAAATAAAATTTTTCAAATCAATTTCTAGATAAATAATCATTAATGTTCTGAAAGTTTCTTTGCAGTGTCCACCCTATTCATGTAGTGAGTGGCCAAATGTTCACTTGAACTTAAATCATTTTGGCCAGTTACCTATCTCATAAGGTAATCAAAAGTATGACTATTGATAGACAGAAGTCAAATTTAAATATGTTTGTTTGAAAATGATTAAATGTTCCTTGTCAAAGAAAGGTAAAGCAAAACAATCAAGAGAATCTGCCATGTCTTGAATAAATATCTATTTCTTAACAATAATCTTGTAATCAGGTAAAGAATTGTAGCATGTTTAATATTATCTAACTTTGATGACATGCAAAAGAAAAGCCAAGATGTTTTATTCATTACCAAAAGGTCACCTGGAGGTAAAAGCAGACATTAATTCTAGACATTTATTGCTTAAAGATCTATGTCAGGATGTTGTTTGATATTTATTTGATCCTGAAACTCAGGTTTGAATATCACCATTTTACTTATATTTGGGGGGGGGGCAGGGAGCTAACTTCAATGACATAGGTATTCATATTTGGAATAAGGATGATATTAAACAAAAGATCAAATGTTCTAAGAAATAGGACTCAAGATAAACTTTTCTGGAACAGAATATATGATTTGGGATTGGAATGAAAGCAGTAATGGCACAGACCTTGAATCCAGGTTGTTGATTTACTAAATACTAAACACTTCAAATATATTTTGGTTTACGAAACAGTTATAACAAATTTAATATAGGAAATAAAGAAACTGAACATAAAATAGGCTGTGCTATGAGTAGTTTTACCCAACACATTAAATTGCTACAAAACCAAAACAAATGTAAAAGCATCTTTAATAGCCTCATCATACCAATACATTCTTATGGATGTCATGCATGGTGCCAAACCTGTTCAGAAATAACTAAACTCTCAGCTGTATACAACCACTTTGTAAGATCAATGGTTAAAAATGGCTTTGAGTAAAATGAAGCCTATAGACCTTGGTAAGGATTTGTGCTACAGAGTCACAGACAAAGAACTGTACTAATAAAGAGAAACCATATCAATTGAAAACTTTCAACACTAGCAACAACTAAAATGAATAGCACATCTAGTAACTCAAAGAGCAAATAATGACATAATCAAGATGTTGACATTCCATGCTACTTGAAACAAAAGGTTAAGAATGAAACTACCTTCAATACTTGAAAGAA